ACACTCACAATATTAAATTTTCAAGGTAAAATGCTTTAATAGGAAAAATAATTAAAATAAATGTAAAAACGCTAAAACAAAAAAGTGGTTCAGGATTTTTTAATTTTTTTTTACTTTTGTTTATAGAAGATTATTATCTATAATTTCCAAATAAGCAACTAGTATCCTATACGTTCAAAGTTATGAATTCATTAATAAGAACAATGATACCTTGTTCAAATACATCGAAAGATGTTTGTGAGGTTTTTAATGACAACTGAGTATTGAAAGAACAAAAGAACAAAGAGTTGGATGTTGATACTAAAATAGTGAAAAGTTCTTACAATACTTGATCAAAGTACATGGAAATGTGTAATGAGTGATAATAAACACAAGTTTATGGAAGTAAAAAGTAGTTGTATACATGGATGTATGTTACTGATGAACCAAACTTGTCAGCTAGTGTAGTAAGATGCTCCTTTGCATACTGAGAAACAAAAACATGGTTTTAGTATCTCTGGTTGATATAAGTATATATAAAGATATAAAAACCTATAAAAAGAATAGATACCTCATCAAGGTTACAAAAATGAATAAAAAATACATAATTAGCTTCATTCTTCCCCTGTTAAAAAACAAATGAAAAGGTTCAAAAAACTACAAAATCCAAGGAACACCACAAACTAAAAAAATCAATCAACATCAAAATGTTAGATTGGAAATGAGGCAAAAATGTCATATAATGGAATCTTGAATTCTAACTACGTTGGATCTTTTCTTTAATTCTCCTTGGAGAAGGAATGACATACCCCATAATAATCATTAATGTGTTGGATTAATGTGTCTAATCTAGTAACTAAATTCGTATATTCTTGTAATTAGAAGCAAAATCATTTTTGGGTTGCCTTCGTAACTAGAACTTTGTTAGAATGACATTTTTTGAGAAAGGATAATTTATTAGATTATTATATGATTAATAAACTAATTTGAAATTATGAGAAATGATTTGTTAATGTATTATGTTATTAATATATTAATTGGAAATAGATAATTGGGATGATAGTTTAATATGTGGTTAATAAATTAATATGAGATCAGTTGTTAAATAATTGATTTGTTGATTTATATAAGTAATAAATTAATATGAAATCAATTAGAATTGATTAATTATAAATCATAATTAATCTGGAATTAATTGAAATTAACTAAAGGTGTAAAGGGCGAATTGTAATTGTTTAATAGTTGAAAAAAAAAGCAATCATAGAATCATGCAAGGGAAGATTATTTTAGGAGCCTCCTTGGGGTTTTCAGAAGCCCCTTGGATGCATATAAGGAAATAATTTGGATTGGGATTAAATTCATTCAAATCTTGCTTTGTCCCTAAGTTACCTAATACTAAACATAGGAACCATTCAGATTATATTTTCGTTATTATTCTTTTGTAGAAGTATATAAATCAAATTTCCTTCTCCTTCTCTCTCCTCAATTGTCTTCTAGTTCTAGGGTTTGAGTGTGAGCCATTAGAGGCATCATCCTTTTGGTGCTAGTTGTCCATGTTCTTCATAGGAAGGATTGAAGTGATTTGTTTATTACAACAAATCAAAGGTATGTAACCCTAATCCTTGTATTATATTTTGATTATATTAGGGTACTAGATTTTTTTGTTCATAGTATGTTGCATTAAAAGTGTATGACATAGATATTTAAGTTGCATGTGGCCTTAAGTGTTAAGTTAAATTCCACAAGCACATTAGTTGTGTAATCTATAAAACCATTCAGTGGTATCAGAGCATATGTTGTGTCTAACATTGATTTTACATTAGATGAACTGAACAAAATCATTTTATTGAAAAATTTGTTCTCACGTCGTGACACATGGCCTGTCATGACGTGAAACCAGTCTAAAACCGATTTTCAGGATTTTGCTGCCTAATCTGATTTGTGTGGTTAATTTTGGTAATTATCTGTTTTTTAATATGTCAAATTTGATTTTTGATGCCTTAGATGATTAAAATAAAACCCTAAATATTTGGAGATAATCTTGGAAAGATAATATTTATTTATAAGATTAATTAACTTGAGTTATCTTATGGATTTAATAATAAATTTAATTATATTACTAATTAAAAGATAATTATAAATACATGTTAGGTTTAAATTGATTAGTTAATTATATAATTAATTTAGATAATTAATATTTAAACCTTGTGTTTTAGAAAGTCTTAAAATACACATATGCTATTTATGATTAAATGTTTAATATATTATAAATATAATAAAATCCAATTAAATCGCTAGTACGCCTCATTCACGAAACCATACTATAAGAGGGGGGGGGGGGATAAGGAAACAACCTATAAAATAATAGTTGGATGGGTGTCTACTCTCATCCACTGCTCCCTTGTATAGTAGATGATCGTTAGCCCAAACAGATTTGATAGGACATAACCTCATTAAATGTATGATGCTATAAAGTACTGGAACCTTTTTATATAAATCACAGCTCTAGTTACTTTAGAAAAAATGTGAAGTGTATGCTAATCCATGGAAACACAAATCATTTTTTTATTGATTCGTTAGTGGAGTGTACATGGTTAACTGACATACTAATTTGGGACTATAAATATGAAATGATGAAACAACTTGTGTTTATAATTGTTGATTAAGCGTGTGTCGTTAACCGGCACATCAATGAGAGATTATAATTTGATCAAGGGTGTTTGAGCGGGTTGCATGGTTATTCACATCTTAATTATGATCCTCGACATCCGAGTCACAATTGGTAGTAGCATAATCGAGATTAAACATGTCATTGATAAGATTCAATGAATCTCAAAAGATATAGGAGATTCATAATAGTAAAATTAGTAAAAGCCTTACCTACCTAAAATAGATTTGAATTTGATTACGACATCCCTATTCAAAGTTCAAATCGAAAATATGGATCCTAGCCTTATTAATTTTTGGGTTAATAATTAAGGATTAAAATCAACTAAATTGAATTCTTTCTTCTCCCATATTTTAGATGTGTTATAAAGATAGAAATGATCTTCCTCGTTCTTATTGAAATGGTTTTCGTCAATCTTCTAGAGATGGTCTTCCACTTTCAAGGCAAGATGAAAATGTTGTCCCTTCCTTAGCAAATGGTGAAACTGGACATCGTCTCTCTTTAGCTACTCCAACTCCTTGCTATGACTCTCCCAACATCACATTTTTTCAAGTTGAAAGATATGAAACAACTCAAGCCTTATTGGCATGTAAACATAAACAAGGAAATTCTGTGTGTGTGCATGTTATGAAATTGAAATTGTACATTGGCAAATTAGAGAGAATAGGTAACGTATTCCCAAAGGAGCAAGCCAATGATTTGTTTCTTCTTTCTCTTTTTCATTCATATGGTCAGTTTGTTAAGAACTTTCATATGATGAATCTTGATATGACCCTAATTGATCTAACCTATACGTTGATGTTTGTTGAAGCAGAAATGCTTAAGAACAAAGCTAAAGAAAAAAATGCTTATAAGGTCTAATTCAAATATTTCCATGGACATTAACAATGGTAACATTAGTAATCTAGATAATATTTCTCTTCCCAATCTAAAGAGATAGGCCAAGGTCAAACTATTTGATCGTATGGTAAAGAGAAAAGCTCGTTCTAAGATCATTCCACATGTTGACCCCAATGAGTCCATTTGTTTCTACTACCAACTGAAGGGACTTTCGAAGCGAAGCTGCCCAAACGAGCTGAAAGATCGTGAAGATGGTAAAGTAAATTTGTATGACTCTACTTCCTATACATCCATTATCTAACTTAATAAGTTCGTATTCTTAGACTCTTAATACATAATGTGATGATCACATTTTGATGGTATTGCATGATTTTAGATAAAGAAGTAAGCTTAAACAAAGTGAGCTAAATCTGATCGTGTGAAATGGACTTTGGTCACGTGGTTCGATGGTCAGAATTTGGAGCTACTACTAGGGAGTTAGGATAATTTAATAGACTGTTATTACTTTGGAAGACGTTTAGAAACTTAATTTTTCATTCCATGCATTGTAAAGACAAGTTCCAAATTTTCATTTACTTCAATAAAACCGAAATTTGGTTTACGTAGTTGCCTTATCTTATTTCCTTGCGATGACATTAATGAAAGTGTTGGTTATTGTTGTGATATGCTGGAGATGATTGTATTGAGGTTGCCAGTGGGTTTCTGTAGACGCCTTCTCCTGATATCACAGTACAAAAATGGAAGATAGATCGTTAGTCGACGTCCGGGAGGGGCTACCACAATGAAGCTCGGACGATCTAATCAGTCTTTGTTCTAAAAGAGAAATTATATTCATAGGAAAAAGAGTTATGTCGCCTCTTCATGAGGAAGAAGGCTCCTTTTATACCAGGTTTGAGGGGAATGTGGGATCCAACGGATTTTGTTGGACATTCCTTCATGGTTCGTAACGTGGCAGGCTCCTACTGGAAGACCCTTCGTCACGCCCTTTTTGCATCCTCTCCTCATTGGCTAGAGGAGGATTTGTTAGTTATTATAGAGATCGTGACTATCGTTTGACAAGCACGTGGGACACTCTGAATGGTCTCATGCTTGCTGATGTGTTATTCCTTGGTGAGGAGGTTATAGCGTTGCTCTGCACCATAGCTGTCATGTCTGTATTTTTCGCGTTGGCGAAGGTCCGACCTTGACCTCGAACTTGGTCCGACTGATTTCAGCTCATGCCAATCTCGGTACTAGTTTTGACTTCTCTTTTTGACGTTTCCTATGAGGGATATGTTAACAAGTCCCTTAGGCTTGTAGGCGTTTGATTTGGTTTGATAGCATCGACATTCGAGCCTATTTCACAACATGTGAATGCCTAGGATCATTTCTAACTTTGAACGGGCTCTTGTTAGTGCCATCAATGTATCCCCCCTTTCAAGACCGTTCATTCTTACTGTTTATCTCTGCTTCCCATGCTTTGACTTGAGTATTCTGCGAGTTTTCCTTTTCTATCATTCATATGTTCCAGACAATGTATCGTCATGGTAGAGTCCCTACTGTTGAGGAATTCCAACTCCTGCAGGACCATTTTGGTTTCTTACCAAAGCATGGTGTAATGATTCCAAAAAGGGGGGTATCAATCTACGATTGCCCTCAAGAGAAGGTGGGGGTTCCAATCCCTTTATTCAAAGTGAGATTACGTGTGCCGACATCTAATTTCTTCAACATGATCGTGGACCACTATGGCTTCTCTGTTGATGAGTTGACTTCGAGCGCCATCAACTCAATCGTTGGTTTTGAACTGGTTTGTCGATCTTTGGGTTGTATCCCCACCTTCTGGGTTTTTAGTTTCTACTTTTGTTCAACTACGAATTCTAGTGTTCTTACTTTGTCAAAAAGGTGGGGCATTCATCAACTAATCTCTGAACAGGACATCCCGAAGAAAAATTGGCAAAGGAAATGGCTCTGGGTTAACCGCGACCTTGTGGGGCGTGGATTTATTAAAACACGAGAGTTTCTTGATCATATTCCCAAATTCTTCGGGAGTAACCTAACCCTCGACATGAGATTAGGAAACAATAATGTTGTTGGAAAGAACTGGGAGGATTCCATTCTTGTAGCGGTTGGTATGAGTGCCACTTGGTGAGCTCGTGGGAAGATGGTATAATTATACGTTGTGAGATGCGATATACACTTGTATTTTCCTTCCCCTTCCCCTCTTTTTTCTTGAAAAAGGAAAAAGGGAGAAAGAACAACATTATCTTACGAATCCTTATACTCAACTTTTATTTTCATATGTGTTGAAGCCGAGATTTTGTTGGAGATGGCCCTGCGCGGTCACTACTGGGGTAGGCTCTATCACCGGGAGATCGACCTTCTAGAGACTCTTCCCCCTCCTGTGTCTTATAGGCGCATGTGAGAGCTTGCTGGATTGCTCTTGGTGGAAGGGGAAAATGCTAGTTCTAGCGAGCTTGCATTGCCCTCCCAGCCGGCCATTGAGGTTGTTTCCCTGGCTCATCCGTTGATTTCTGCCCCTTCTGGTTTGCCTGTGGGGGTACAAGTTGGGAGAGTTACTACTCTTGTTCGTAAAAGGCAAAGTTTGCGTGTTGTGCCGTTGTCAAATGAGGAGACAAAATTCCACGATGTGGGTCTTCATCCTCGTAAAGTGCACAGGACTGTATCTATGGCCAGGCTTCTTGGAAGCATCAGGGATTTTCTTGGCAACAATTTCGAATCATCTGTCCAGAAAGATAAAGCGGTGATCCCTGATTTTGCGACGTCACCTCCCCTGTCATTTACTACTACCTTCCCGATTGATCTTAGTTCTGACTCCACATTTGGGAGTGCATTGGGTTCGCCTGGAGGTTCCATTCAGCCAAAGAAACCTTTAGTGGAGGGCGAAATTGTTGGATTATTATCTAAGGCTGTAACTATATTTGGTAAGTACTTGACCCGGTTGTGCATGGGCCTTTTGGGTTGCCTTCACCATATCAACTTGACAGGATGATTTGTTAAGAGAGAAGAAATATTATTGTTAATATATTATGAGAATAATATATTAAAGGATTGATAATGTTATTTGATTAATATAAGTCATATATTAATTAAGAATTAATTTGGTGAGTTAAAGAGGTTAATTGAATAAAGGGGCATAAACTGTCGAATGTGTGATAGTAGTGTTTTGGGCTATGTATCCTTATAGATAATGGGGTGGACGAAATTTAGGGTTTGGGAAACTTAAATTCATCCAAGCCTAATATCTAGGAGGATCTTGGATTGCTTAGGGCCTAAGTTATTCAATTAGGGTTAAAGGTGAAACCCTAGTATCCTATAGTATAAATAGACCCCTAGGGTGAGGGAAATCGGCACTCATGCAAGGCAAGAAACCCTAGGGCCAATTTCACACCCTCCTTCCTCTCTCTCAAAGCATCTTCTTGCTAGTTGGTGTTTGTAAGCCATTAGAGGAGTGACAATTGTGACTTTAAGCTCCAAGAAGAAGAAGTATCAAACAAGCAACTCAAGATATTCTTCTAGATCTATTTTCATATTCTATGAATTGTTTGTTTACACTAGATCTATGAATGAAAGTCTTGGATACATGCATGTTCAATTAGAGAAACCTAGTTTCAAGCAATTAGGATTTGCAGGTGCACATAGGAAAGTTCTTATGGCTCAAACCCATCAGTGGTATCAGAGCTTTGATTGATTTCTATTGAATTGATGCATTAGTTAATTGCTTGTTGCTTGAAAAAATTCGATTTTTGGTCTTCTGCCTGATGAACTCAGCGAGTTCCACTGTGGACTCGGCAAGTAGCTCCAACTCAGAGAGTCCATAGTTGGAACTCGGCGAGTTCGAGCGTCAGAAAGAGGGAATTTCGGGATTTCTTGCTGTTTTGCTTGAGGAAACTTGCCTTAATTGTTTTGGGTCATTAAAATCCGATTTTAACCATATATATGAGTATATTCTTGACCAAACAAAAGATAATTACCAATTTGTTAAACAATAATTTCCTTATGTGATAATAATTGATTATTTGAATTGAATTGGTGAATTGTTTTGCAAGTAATATTGAATAAGATCAAATTGAGATAATCTAATTGTTGATTTACATTATTTGCTATTTGATCCTTATGTTTCGAAAATTATAAAACTTGTCCTCAAGTTTTTTGATTAAAAGTTTAATTTGAATAATTTAAATTTCAAACTCTAGAATTTTACAAGTTTAAAATTCAACTCTGTTATGAATTATTATTTAGTGAATGACTATTGGATTATCTAGATTCCCCCATTACTCTCCATAATTAGTGAACACTATAGCAAACATTATTATGAGTTTTATGAGTGTAGTTATGCACCACTATAATGTGCATTCATATCATACATGACCTTTCATCTTCTTTGTTTAGTATAAATAGTGAATATTATGTATTGTAAAGTTGGATAATTTCTTCACAAGTATTGGAATAAAAGTTCTCTCTACTCTCATGTCTTTCTTTATTCTATAATTTATCTTGTTATTTGATCATATTTTATAACACGTTATCAGCATGACTCTACCATAGAGCTAACTCCTTATTATTCTTGTCATTTTCAGGTATGTACTTTTTATAATTTTACATGTACAATGCTTACAACTTATTTTATGGAATTTCTTAACTAACAATTCCTTACATTACAAGTCTTTATTTTGATTTCTATTTTCATTATGGAAAACAATGCTAGAGAAAACTTTTTCTAGTTTTCATACTACTAACATGCTCCTGCAGTAGCAATATCATGAGAAATGTTTAAAATAAATACGAATTAATCTCATATCTTCTTGTGGCTAAACAAAACAATGAGTTATTGATGAAAAATTATCAATCAATCCCGACCGGTTCTAGTACATTCCCTGAAGTGAATGTAACTCATATAATCATAATAGTCATGAGTCTAACCGAGGTCGTGGAATTGATGAAAAATGATCAATCAATCCCGACCGGTTCTAGTACATTCCCTGAAGTGAATGCAACTCATATAATCATAATAGTCATGAGTCTAACCGAGGTCGTGGAGGTTATCATAATTATCATAAAAATAACAAGATTACAAGTAACCACCAGAAGTTGGAAAACAACAAAAATCCACATCCTAATGATAAAAGTGGTCAAGGCAAAAAAAAAAATGAAAATGTTTATCACTAATGTGGAATGACCGATCATTAGTCTTGTACATGCTGCTTACCAAAGCATTTTGTTGATCTTTATCAAGATTCTCTAAAATATAAAGAAAAATATCAAAACAAATTTTATTCAAAGTGATATTCATGAAGATCAACTAGAAATGACACATTTAGATGTTGCCGATTTTCTTGTCTACCCAGAAGGGACAAGTGGTGATATGGATGGTGATTGATCAGCATAATGTAAAGTTTTGTTTCATGACATTTATTATGTTTTTATGTCATATTCGTTTCATGAGAAATGATGTCGTCACAATCTTCCCAAATTAATAAAATATGAATTTATTTCTCTAAGTCGAATGTTTCTTATGTTTTATTTATTTATTGAAAAGAAACATGGATATTCGCAAAAGAAATAGTAAAGATACATATCTTGCAGACAATGCAATAACACATAGCATTTTTAATAATGAAAAGTATTTTGCTTACTTATCAGTTAGAGAAGCAAATGTTAATATAATAACAGGTAATGTCAAAAAAAAATGAAAGATCTTGGTAAAACGAAAGGGAGAAAATATAACTGATGGTCCAAAAGAGAAAACAGAATCTTTTGAAAAGATTAATGAAGCTCCAGAAGAGCCCAATGACCCTAAGTGGGTAACAAAGTCTCATGTACTAGCTATACTTACTCAAATTAGAATTGATATCCCAGAAGGAAAAAATACAACTACAAATGAATCAAAGGCACGCCTGAAGCGTGGAAGACTAACCGGTTCCAAAGATAAAAATCCTCGAAAACGAAAGGGAGCAAATATAATTGATGGTCCAAAAGAGAAAACATAATCTTTTGAAAATATTAATGAAGCTCCAGAAGAGCCCAATGACATAACAAAAGAAAATAAGGTACCTGGAAAAAATCAAAATGATGAGATCTCAATAAATTATGTCATGACACAAATAAGATGGAACCGAAATAAGATAGACGTCGACGATAATTTTTCATATCATGTTCCGCGCGTGATTATAAAGAAAATGAGGATCTTGAACCTAAATCTATTGAGTAATGTATGAATAGAAAAGATTGGCCAAAATGGAAAGATGCAATAAACAAAGAGCTTAATTCTCTTACTCAACAAAAAGTTTTTGGACCTATAGTCTGTACACCAAACAGAGTAAGAACAGTGGGACACGAATGAGTATTTGTGCTCAAAAGAAACGAGATAAATGAAGTTGTGAGATATAAAGCAATACTTGTTGCACAAGGTTTTACCCAAAGACCCGAAATTGATTATGAAGAAACGTATTCTCTGGTAGTTGATGCAATTACATTCAGTTATTTTATAAGTTTAACAACATATACAAAACTGGAGATGTGTCTAATGGATGTATTTACCGATTGTTTATATGATTCACTTGAAAATGATATTTATATGAAAATCATAGAAGGGTTTTGGGTGCCAGAAGCACAAACTTCTAATTCTCGTGAAGTATATTTGGTAAAATTAAATAAATCTTTGTATGGATTGAAACAATGTGGCCGTATGTGGTTCAATTGTTTAAGTATATTTCTTTTAAAAGAGGGCTATAAAAATGATCCATTAAGCTCATGTGTATTCATAAAAAGATCTGGATCAGAATTTGTGATAATTGTTGTTTACGTAGATGATTTGAACATAATTGGAACTTCTGGAGAATTGGAAAATGCCGCTTCTTGTTTGAAAGAAAAATTTGAAATGAATGAAATTTTGTTTGGGTTTCAAATTGAGCACACCAAAAATGGAGTTTTTATACATCAATCTAGTTATCTAGAAAAGGTGCTTAAAAAGTTTTATATGGATAACTCACATCCATTGAGTACCCCGATGGTAGTAAGGCATTTAGAAGCCAAAAAGGACCAGTTTCGGCCTTGTGAAAAACATGAAAAACTTCTTGGTCCCGAAGTACCATATCTTAGTGCTATTGGTGCACTGATGTATCTTGCTAATAATACGAGACCTGATATATCTTTTGCTGTAAATTTATTAGCAAGATATAGTTCTTGCCCAACAAGAAGACATTGGAATGGAGTTAAACACATTCTTTGATATCTTCGAGGTACATTGGATATGAATTTATACTAATCAAATTTGTAAAATGCGAAGTTAATTAGTTATGCAGATGATGGATTTTTATCTGATCCACACAAAGCTCGATCCCAAACAGGTTATTTATTCACTTGTGGAGGTAACGTAATTTCTTGTCATTTTGTTAGACAAACTTTAGTTGCTACGTATTCTAACCATGAAGAATTTATAGCAATTTATAAGGCAAGTCATGAATGTATTTGGTTAAGAAATTTAACTCAATACATTTGCAAGATTTGTGGTCTAACTTCTAACAGGGATGTTCCAACCATACAATATGAAGATAATACAACTTGTATAGCTTCATTCAAGGAAGGATTTATCGAAGGAGACAGAACCAAGCATATATCACCAAAGTTTTTTTTTCACTCATTATCTTCAAAAAGAGTGTGGCATCAACATCTAGAAAATTTAATCCAATAACAACTTTCCTGATTGGTTTACTAAAGCACTTCCTACATCGAAATTTGAAAAGATGGTACGAAACATTGTTATGTGGTGCTTCAAGAAAATCAAGTGATGTGCTAATCAGGGGGAGTTGGAAACATATTGTACTCTTTTCCTTAGCTATGTTTTTCCCACTGGGTTTTCTTAGCAAGGTTTTTAACGAGGCAATTGTTTCCAATATCTATTATTAATCATGTACTCTTTTTCCTTAATAAAGGGTTTTTCCCATGAGGTTTTACCGATTAAGGTTTTAACGAGGCATGATAGAATCGTCATTCAAGGGGGAGTGTTATGAATTATTATTTAGTGAATGACTATTGGATTCTCCATATTCCCCCATTACTCTCCCTAATTAGTGAACATTATAGCAAACATTATTATGAGTTTTATGAGTGTAGTTATGCACCACTATAATGTGCATTCATATCATACATGACCTTTCATCTTCTTTGTTTAGTATAAATAGTGAATATTATGTATTGTAAAGTTGGAT